AATATTAGTAATTGAAATTGTATTGCGGAAGAAATCAATTTGTCGTTCCACGTTTTGGTTGAAATCCCATTTGAAAGTAATATTTTTAATAATGCTCTACCCTTTAAAAATACACCCTATAATTATTATTATCATTATATACCTACCATTTAATAATTTTTTATCTTGTCAATAAATTTTCATAAAAAAATCCTTGAATATTCATAAAAGCTGTGATTTTTTACAATTATATTGTAAGAAGGGGAAAAATAAAACTCCCACATACAAAGGAATTTTGTTTTTTACTTATATGAAATTTTTAAATATATGCTTAGACTATGATAACAATAAGATTCATTTTATCCGTGTACATATATATAAATACTAATTTAAAAGATATATGTATATAATATGCATTGATAATTTATGTATAAGTTCAGAAATATGTGGGTGTTTATATGATAAACTCATTTATTATACAGAAATTTAAAAGTAAATCATATTGTTATATTTTCATTTGAATTTTTAAAAAATGTTATACATACTCGTATATGATACATTTAGAAAAACTTTTCATTATTATCCTTATAAAATGTTAATGATATTATTGATAATAATATATTATCCTTGAAAATACAATATTATTATAAAGGACATTTTTTAGGTGTTCAATATTTTTAATCAATAATTATTATAATTAATTTATTTTATTAAAGGTGAAAACTATAAAAGTTGATTTTAATATAAAAACTTAAATTTTAATTTTGTTTCAATTTACTTGTTTTGGAATTTTTCAATGTACATAGCTATTATATGAACACATCATAGTTTTTCAATATAAGGACATTGTTCTTGGAATTTTATAGAAAAATAAAATTAATTTCAATGATAAAAAAATAAAAAATGTTGGATCAATCCAATAGTTTGCAAAGTATTTTTTTCAACTTTGTTAATTCATTATAGGTTTATTAAGAAGTAAAAATTTATTCCAATTTTGTGAGTACCCATATTAATTTACAATTAATTTATAGTAATTATATACACATTTGAGTCAGTAACTATAAATTCTCTAAATAAGTTCAAAGAGAACAACTTTTGTGTGATTTCGTTGTTACCCTTGTACTAGTAAAAATAGTTTTTTTTTTTAAAGGACGATCTACCAGCTACATGGGCATTATATTCAGCAAAAAACGTACTTTTAAACAACACATAGGCATCTTGTACCCTTTTATAAGCAAAAAAACTGGATTTATCTAGGGATAAAAAATAATTAATATTTAAGTTGATTTTTACTTCAGTGCTCTTGTGTGTAGCATCTTTGTTGAATGACTGTACTAAGTATCTAGTAAAAAAGCTACAAATATTGCAGAATAAAATTTTAGTAATGATGTGCAGCCTCCCATTTTACTACTCTACATTGTTATACCGAATTTTGCTATACCGAATTAATTACCATAAAAATATCTCAAATCTTCTTAGTTTTTATGAAAAATGACGACATTTACAAAACCAACTGATTATCAATCTCATCAATACAACATAGCAAAGAGAAATCCCTTACGTTAGTAAGACTAATATTAACTTCCTTTTACCAATAGTATGCCTTAGTATTTTCTTTTTAATAATTGGTTTCATTTAGTTTTAAACTACATACTCGTACATATAATTCACAGATGACAAGATTCGTTATAGCCAATCTGAATACTGTAATAATTAGTAACTTATATTGTAAATTGAATTTTTGACGGTTAATATGCAATAATAATAATAATCATAGTAGATTATATAAATTATTTTTATTATAATTTTTTGACGTAATAGCAATTACCGTTACCTGTTTGCTTTTTCAGAATTTTCGATAAGCTAGCCGTTAATCTCGAACGTACATAATTTTGGAGGTCGAATTATGTATGTTGCCTTATCTGATTTCAACTTCACAATTCAAATTCAGTCAACGTATATGTAATACATGATTTTTATCGTAAGGTTCAATGTAAGTATTTTATGAATAGCTCTAAAGTGCTTTTTATCCAAACTCAATTGTACTTTCAAAAAATATAATGGTTTTTTATCGAGCAATACTTTCATTTTATTTTTACCCCCTAACAGTTTTTTTTTTAAATTTTTTACAAAATTTTTGTTGACAGCTTTTTAGAAAATCACAGACCCTATTGTAAAATTAATGTTATGCCCATTTTACAACAATTTATCCATACAGGAAATTGTTATATTCACTTGAATTTTTTTTTATTCATAGATCATGTATAACACAACTGGTAATAAAATCTAATTTATGTATGTATTTAGAGGAAAAAACAAAAAATTTTATTATCAGCGGGTTAATATTTTCCAATGTAATAAAATTTTTATAAATAATGTAGGAGTTTTTAAATTAATGTATGTATTTATTTTTATACAGGAAATGTTAATAGAAACCGACAATTTATTTATGATGAATACCAATACCTACACATAATTATATTATATTTAAAATTATCATGTTAAAAATATGCCGGTAATAAAGAAAAAACATAGAAAAGTATATTTAAAAAAAAATCTTTGCTCACATTGTTTTGTATCCTTTTTTCTTCCTCACCTTTTGTAACACATATTAGATTAAATTCAAAAGTACAAAAGAGTTAGAGGATGTGAAATTCACCAAAAAGAACAAACTAAATATTTTGATGATTTTTAAATTCGTTTTTTTGATTTACACTGTTAAGGTGAAATTTTGGAAAATCTCGTACATTTACTCTTTAAGATCATTCATTTTTATTTTTGGAACACATTAATAACTATTGAAAGACTAACTTCCATCCCACAGTATATATTTGCTCCAATTATTTATTTAAACTTAATACTGTTAAATTACTAAAACAATTAAACCCCAATATATTTGTTTTAGTAATTTAATCAACCCTCCAGTATAAGTCACCCCCAGTATTGTACTTAAATGGACAATAGATGTATAACAGACAGGACTTCGTAATGAATTAAAATATAACATAAGTATTTCGTATATTCCTTACCGTAACAGATGGTAGCAATTAAACTACACAGATTATCCCATTTGATATCTAAAATTTAATCCTGAATTTAGAGAAAAAAATTTTAATTAAAAACTCTCAATATATTTATGTTTTTTAAATAATATTTCTTTTTAATTTTCAATAAAACTTATGATTTCATATAAAATTAACATAATATTGAACATTCAAAATTTAAATCTATATATATACTATAATGTAATTCAAAATAATATTTGGCCAAATATAATATTAAATATTCTAATAAAATATAATAATAATTAACATTATTTTATAGCTATATATGAAGATAAAATGTAATAATTTATGAAATATTTAAAATTATATTAATTATTTAAAACATAAAATTTAACAAAATATAATCACAGCCTTTTATAAAATCAAAATTTTCCAAGTGATTTTCCGAATCATTTCGCATAATAAAAGTTTCTATATAAATAACCAATTACTTGAAGTCTATAAGAGTAATGAATTTTTTTGCATCGATAAACGGGAATTTTTTCAAAAATTTTAGGAATAACTTTATATTACGATTTTAATTTCTCAGTATTTAAAAAATTTGGCACAATCAGGAAATTCAAAAATTAGGTAGAGAAAGCTACTTTCCAAAAACACTTTTCTAATTTTAATGATATTGATTAAAATTTCTACATTAACTTTTCTACATTAAATTTTATTACCTATTTTTCTACTTTAAGAATTCTTTATAAAATTGTAAAATATTTTCAATAAATTTCATACTAAATTGAATAATGTCTTAGAAAAATAATATTTGGCTTGAGTTTTTTGCATTCTATATTAAAAATTTATAAAATGAAAACAATTTTCTAAACATATGAAATAATTTAAATTCACTAACATACGCCTGATCAAAAACAATGGTAATTACCCTCAGCTACTATTCAACAATAAAAATTAATATTTTATCATTTTCAAATTTAAAACAATACGAGTAATGAGCGTATTTCTTTAACAATAATGGAATACCAGATGTAATAGCAAATGTTATGATATCTAGTAATTCATATTGCACACTATAAACAACAAATTAATTCTACCTATCATGATAAATTATCATGAAATTATCCTAAATCTATACCGGTTAATGATTTTCAGTACTTTAAATTTATGGGAATTAATTATACACATGATTTCTGTACAATTAACTGTAGTTTTAAAATATAAAGTACTATTATTTTGACGGAACAATTCTGCAATTAAGATATTAGCAATTAAGATTTCAGTACTACATTACTGCAATTTTGAAATCAGAGTAAAAATTATTACATTTAAGCAGTAATTCATGATGCTTTACAGGACTATAAGACTTGCGATTAATTTTAAAGTTTTGTAAAAAACATTTATTATTTAATACTTATTTTAGTAATTTTAGAAGCAATTAGGTTACAATCATAAACATCATATCAAAATTTCAAAATTTCACCACTTAAATTTAATTTATATGGAATCGATTTAACAAACATTCATTTGACTTCACATTTTCATTCAATTTCCATCTTTTTGTCATATATATTCTTAATATTTTATTTCTTTCTTAATTTCTTACAAATCCAATAATATTTATATAGCTTTAATTATAATGATTTTGTTATTTTTTTTCACAAGATTTAAAATTTTTTACTTATACATTTACAATATTATATTTTACCTATTAATTTTATAGTTAACAATAGGCCGAATCGAACTCTTAAAGACAAATATTATGAATTTTAATATTCTAGTTTCTTACAATAAATTTTTTATTACTTTTCTAATTTCTGGGTATTATTCTAAGCTAAGTAGTCTTACATTTCATTTTATTTTCTTATTATACAATATTTTAAATACGTAAATCGATATTTAAAAAATTATTTTATATTTTAAAAATTTTTCAGCACTAATTATGAAAATTAATAAAATTTATAAATTAGAAAATAAAAAACAAGACTGCAAAATATACTTAAATTATAATTCCCAAATACCATAATTTTATTTTTGTTAACAATATTGTTACCATCCCCCCCATTATTGTTTCTAAATCTAATAGCAATAAATATGAAAAATGGAAAACCCAGAAAATTTTATTATTACTCGTATATTTTATTACACTCTGTTAATTTCATTTTAATCACAATATACTACCGTTTGTTGTTGTTAATGGTTGTCTTTGTTGTTTAAAACCACGTGATTTATGTAATAATTCACCTTTATGACATGGAACAACAGTACCTTGATTTAATATTGTTTGTTTTGATATTCCATCATTTCCATTACTATTATTAATATTATAATTGCTAGTACTACTGTTACCATTAATATTGCTATTATTACTATTACTGCTACTACTATTACTACCATTACTACTGCTACTTGTTGCGACACCAATTAAATTTCCAATCATTTTCGATACAGAAAATTTTCTTTGTTTAACTGGACGTGTTTTTGTATCGGCCAATAACTTATCAAATGCTTTATATAAATTTGGTGAATTTTCAGCAACTGATATTTCACAGAAACCAATTGAATATGTTGCAGCTAATGAAGCACCTTCCGTTTCATTAACCTGTAAAATATAATGGATTATTTTAAAAATAGACCAATAAAAATAACAAATAAAAAATTTTGATTATTTAGTTTTTTTCTCTGTTTTTCCTCATATTTACAATTAAATGTTTATTCTTCAAGTTCAATGATAAAATAATAATTTATTTATGAAAGTATAAATTTATGATAAAACAAAAAATATGATTTATTAGGAGCGAAATAAAAAAAGTTAAAGAGCGAAAATATAAAAAAAAAATATGAAAAATCAAATAAAATTTTTGTTTTGAACAAAAATAATTAAAACATTTTGAATTTGTTATGTTACTGTACTTGTATAAAGGTTGGATCACATGAGTGTGTACCTAATACATAAAACAAAGAATCTTAAACTTTATTTTTTATAACGCTCTTAAATCATTTAAAAATTTTCTTGTTTAAAACGTTGTTTTCCATTCCTACCAAAATTTATCTAAAATTATTTTGCTTTTAAAGTATGAGTACACAAAATTCCCTACTTTGGGAAATGTTACTGTAGTATTTACTTTAGTAAATTAGTAAATTACTATATTTGTATAATTAAGTTGCAATTCATTTATTTTAGAACAATTTTTTGGAGCTTCTATTTGCGTTTCACATTCACGCAAACTCAATATTCCCTTTACTCAATACCTAAATCTCCTGAAACGCCTAGGTCGAAATAATATCCCAAATTCCCAAATATATGGGAAAATGAACGACATAGGTAGCTACCACTTTCTACTACGGCATACATAAATATTTTTCCTTTCTAATAGAACCTACTCCACTTTGAGAATCACAGGATTAAACAATCGTGGGTAGATTTAGAATATTTTTCACCTGTTTTTTTTTTTAATTTATTTTATTTTTCTATCGTTTTATTTAATTTCTTGTTGTTATACAAAAATATGTGTTATATAAGTGTATATATATTAAAATCTTGTTAATTGTTTAGAGATAATAAAGAAAATTTATAGTAAAATGACCTGCATTTCGTAACACCTTTTACAATATTTTATCTGTTTTTGTATGATAACGTGTTTACTATTTTATTTCGAAAGGCGACAATAGAAAACAAAAATAAACCTTTTTTTTTTTTGAACACAATAATAGATTGTAAGTGCGTGAGAACTTTATAAAATGGAGAACATAAGTACATTGTAAGCTTCGAGAGATTTCTAAAAATAATATATAATAAAATATAGCTGTTTACGATATTGTAATAGAAATGAAAATGCGTTTCTATTTATTTATAAGTGTTATCCTTTTGCGACATTTCCAAAAGATAAAAAAAATATAATTTCGACGCATTTTTGGTCTATTTTTAATAAAAACAAAAAAAAAATACTACCATACTGCAAAGTAATCTGTACATAATGATTAGTTCATTAATAGAAAATAAATAATCGGCTTATAGGATTAACGAATTCAGATCACTCCATTGATTTGCAAACTAGTAAAGTTTCTATGTAAATATTACATTATTTCTGTTATTATAGTGATGTTTTTGAAATCTTTACTCTATTCTCTTAATATTAAAATTTGTCCTTAAATTATTATTGCATACATATAGGGGAAAATAAGCAATTTATGTTGAATATTTGATATTTCTGAATAAATAGATCAATTACCATAAGAACATATAGTCTTCATACTTTTTGTGACTGCTTTTAAAAATTTCCGGTTTTGCAGTCAAATGTTTAATAAAAATAAGATTTACTTATGTAATTTCGCTGTAGAAGATGAAATTTTTCTTAATAGCTACGTTTGTAGAATTAAAAAATCAATTGTTCTTTGAACGTGAAAAATTTTTTTTTTAAAAAATGGCATTTAATAATTAATTAAAAATATATATTTAGAGTTTTGTGGAGGAAATGGGAAAATTAGAACATGAGCATATAATAGCTCCTGTGTCAATTTTAATGCGCGAACTCTTCTTTCATATGACGAGATAAAATATAAAATATTTTTATTTAACGGACTGTGTATATCTTGTTTTACATCTGATATTAACTGGCACGTAATAATCGTGCTTTAAAATTCAAATTCATATAAATATTGTCTAGGCGAAATCAGACCGGGCCTTACTGGCCTAAGTATACTTTACGGCAGGCGCGTTCAGCTAACTTAACATAACCTAAATGTTTTCTTAATTAATACAATATTCAAATCCAATTAAATTGTATTAGTTTCCAAAATATAACTTCATACTACAAATACATTTTAGTTATTCTAATGATAAAGGATTGTATATGAACTATATATAGGTATAATTACAGTACGACTGTAAAATATTCTACAACTTGTGTTTTAATTATAATTATTTTCACGGTATTACAAGATAAAACATAAGGATTGTTTCAAAACTTATAAATCTGCACATGAAAATTTATAAGCAGAATGTTGTTACACGTGTTTAAAAGCAACACGTTTCATTACATAAAATTCATAGATAAATGGGAAAACATTTTTAATATCTAATTAACAAAAAAGATGAAAAACAAAAATGATAATAATTTACAGAAAATCTTTTTAACACAAAAATTTAATAATGACAAGATCCTAATAATTTTTAGTATAGAACTTATTTTCAAAATTCTTTGAATTCTCTTTTTTTTTTTGCTTCTCAAATAGTCATTCAAGTATATTTTGAATAAAAACTGAGAACTATAACAACATTTCTTTTGAAAATGAAATAAAATATGCTCGCGATTTTTATATAAACCATTTTTTGTCTTCTCATTCCAAATTTTAATATTTAATTCCAAACAATATTTTTAATTGGATTAAAAAAATGAATAGAAATTAATTATAATAAGAATTCTTTTTATACAAAACGGAAAATAACCATAATTATTTTTAATGTTATACATACACAACACGTCTGCAATATATACCCAATATAGCTGAACTGTTTCAAAACTGAAAAATACCCGAAAAAATTTGATTTCGTAAGTTTATCATTATAAATTATTGAATTTTTTCCTATTAATATTAAAAACAAGTTTCCACGTTCGTAACTTAGAAATGAGCCGCATGTTTGTTTTTTATTTTCGATTTGGAATTGTAGAATAGGTCATTTTAGTCTGTAGTGAGCCCATTTTTTCGCAAACACTACTATGCAGCCCATTCGAGGCTGCTAAATAAAAATACACACTGAAAATATCAAGCTTTTGATTATTTCAAACACAACTCTAATACTCTAGGATTGCTTAATGCTTATAAATATTTCAAAAACTTGAAATATTACCTACAACTTTGTAACTTGCAGATAAAAATGCCTTAATATTTTTATTATATTCAGAAATTTCAAAATTTTCATTCATAATTTTAAATTACTATGAACAATTTTTGTTTTTTTTAGAAAATTTCTGCTTTAAACTCCTGTGGTTTCTCCCATTATAGTATGCTGATTACTGATGTGAAGTACATATTTTCAATTTGTAAATTTTTGTAACATATAAATGAAATAAACGCAACCACAAAAATGGTATAACAAATTCCAAATATCAAAAATTTATTTAAAAAGCAAATTAAAAATTTTATATATCTCACATTTAGTAAAAATCATAGTTTCACTCGGTTCGTCCGTGTGTCCGTTTATTTATAGAAATTCTTAATTCTTACAAATTTTCACTTAGTTTCCCATTAAGCTCTTTTTTTTTCTCAAAGACATTTTCTCGCAAAACTATTGGTTCCTCTTATTAAGGACAAAGCTCAAAAGCAAATTTATGAACATAGTCTTGAAATTATAGATACCATTATCGATTTTCTAAATATTTTCATCAAAATATACTTCTAGTTTTAATTGGCTTGGCTCAATTACCATCGCATTTATTTTTTTAATATTCCTCCTAAATATATGCAAAAAAATAACTTTGTTAGAACTTCATTTTCACTTTACATAGTCTATCTAACACGAAAACTTAAATCTGCTCTCATATGAAATATGAATTTAATTGACTAGCTATACAATTTTTAATAAAAGGAAGCATCCCATGACGCCGTATTAAGTATTATACACATACATATACATAATATACAGAATATTATAGTCTCATTGAATTTTCACAAGATGTGATTAAAATTATATAATGAGATATATGTATAAATTCATTTTTAAATAAGCTTAGCACGTGTACTTAATTTTTTTTTAGTTTTTTGTTATAATCTCTAAAAACAACACAATTTATAGGGAAAATATCCCAAAAATATAATATTTAATTGATATACAAATATATTATGAACAAAAGAATTATATTTTTGATTGATAAAAAATGAATTGTTCTGATTTTTATTTGACTGTGGAAAAAAATTTTATATAATTTTTATACCACAATTTTAATCACGTAACATTTCAAATGTACCAAAACGTTTTTAATATTCATATTTAATCCCACGATATTCAATTAAAAATTAAGATGAAAATTATATTTTGTACATTGAGTTTTTTGCATATAACATTTGGTTATTTGGTTGGTTGTATTTTTATTTATATAAATGCGGTTGAAAGATTACAATCGAAAATTTTGAAAGCTATGTTTAAATATATATTATTATCCTTTTGATCTCGCTCGACTAACACGAATTTACAGTATTTAAGACCTACAACAATTACAATCTAGTAACAATCTAGTAACTTTAATATTATCTCTTTTTGATTATGTTTTGAATATTTTGAAATTATGTTTTCCTTGATCTTAACTGTTATATCTTTTAAGAATTAAATTTTATCAAAAGAATGTTATCGCAAAAGCTCCCACATTTTTACACTTTCACTAATATTTTTTTATTAAATCAAAATAAAACTTTTCTTTTATTTTTAGATTTTTTTAATATTATTCTGATCATAGTTTCAGAAACATAGTAAGCTACAAAAATCGCGTAACATCATCCCAGAATTTTTTTTAAAAAATTCATTTGTTACTAGTTAGTTTTAATAGAAATGTATAAACTTTCTACAATAAAGTTCACGATTTTATAGCATAAAAACGTCACAAAATATTAATTTCGCACAAATCAATATATATATATATATACGTTTATTTATGTATATATATAAATAGTTATATACATACAATAAAAAAAATCTATATGAATTCGTATACGTATATCTTTTAGATTTATGATTCTTGTTGTCTATATACCTTGCTATCATTCAAATATCAAAGTTTTATCAAAGAATTTAGCAAATTATTGCATATTTCATTTAAAGTGACCATAATATTTCAAATTAATTTAACAGATTTTTATAAGTCAAACAATTTTGTACAATAAAATGAATTGAATTAATGACAAAAAATATTTATATTATAGGAGAATTTAAATAGTAGCCCCAAAAAGTGTGGCTCAATTTGAAAATTTGTGCTGGTCCTTTTGTATAGATTTAATAGATTTTGTATAGTTTTTAATAGAAGAAAATGGTCACTATAAAATAATCACTATGTTAATTTGCCACTATAAATATTGCGAAAATTACTTTCATATTACCAAGTTCATATATACAAGTTAAATTAGCTATATAACTACTTTTATTAATTATTTATTATACCCATGAATTTTAATAACTTTCTAATTATTCTCTAGATTTTTTTTAGATTTTATTATATAGCCTTGTTTATTAAATAATGTCAAATTGACGGTATGATTTAATGATGTTTTTATGTAAAACAATATTAAAAAATAATTTATACATATACACAATATGTTTAGTTTTTTATATAAACAAATTTTATTATTCTCAAATATTTAACCCATTATTTAATATTATTTTAATGCAAAAATTTTTAGGAGTTTTTAATTTTCTTAAGTAATTAAAATGTTTTTTACAAATTCTATAATCACGTACTTAACTTATAATATAATCGAATAAGTACAAAGACCTACAAGTCTAAAAGCTAAGGATTTTTTTATTAAATCGAAGAAAGCCTGAACACATAAATCAAAACGCGCCTAAACTTATGCACAAAATTTCTGAAAAATAGTTTTTAAAAGGTAAATAAAATTACATTGTGGAGCCTAACGAGTTAAAAACTTAAATAACTAGCGTGTACTCATAAATAGACATCATTTCTTTAATATAATGTTATATAAATCATAATTATAGTTATGTATTTATGAATTAAATAATGGTTATATACAATGCAGGTAAATATTACCATTAAAAAGCAGTCATTAAAATAGTATATTGAAATTTTTACAATTAAACATTAGTTCAATTCGAAAATCAGTAAGTCAGTTTTAAATGAAGTAAAATTATGCAATAATTTTTATTTTATCATTTATACATATAGAAATAATATTCCAAACTTTTTAATTCAACAGCTCTATAATCAAAATTTTCAAACTATTTCAGAATAAAAACCAAATACTAAATTTCAAATCACAAATACTTTTTACCTACCTTTCTTAAATGATCCAAATCAGCTTTATTTCCAACAAGATATGATAATGGAACTGTTTGCATTGATTTTATTTCAGCTAATGATCTTCCTGCATATTCAAAACTTTTACGATCTGTAATACTATAAACAATAACACAAGCATCTGCCCACTGTACCTGTACAAAATAAACATGATATTTAAAATAAAAATTACTTTCTTGCCTATATACATATTAATATGTATATACATACGTAACATAAATATAAAAATAAATTCTTTATTTTATTTCGAATATACATAAATAAAATGTTTATAGCTTTGACCCAATATAAAAATTTAAAAAAATTAAAGTACCAATAAATTATTTAAATATTGGCATTAAAATTCAAAAGTAACTTTGATCTTGCGTTTGATTGTGGTAAAATTAATCTATACATATAACCTTTTCTCTATTATACTACATCATTTTTCACTGTTCTATAAACTTGTATGTGTTACATAAGGCGTTAATGTACAAACAATACTACTATGAAAATTTCATTCTTAAACCCAAATAAATTAATTGTTTTTCTAATACTTGGGGCAAATATTTCTAACCTTGAAATTTAATTTTCTAGTAGTGCGCTAATTTAAAGTTATTAATTTCAAATTAGTGAAAGTCTGTAATTTATAAAACAATGTTAATTGTATTGAAAAAAAAATATTGAATTTTTGATTTAGTTTGAATATTTTGAATGTTCAGAACTAGAAAAATTAAAAACGTACTCGTATAGGGATGAAATTTTTGAGGAAATTCCTGACTTTCTTTGATGTCATGTAAAAAATACTTTGGCATATAAATTGTATATCTATGCCATTTTTGAAAATTTCTAATGAATATTTTTCCGAGCACAACTCTTAACATTAAATTAAATTTTGTATAAATTTATGGAAAATAGCTTTTTCCGAAAGAAAAATTATGAATGGCCTACTCATTTTAAGTACAAATTACAAGTGACCGTAAACCTCATTATTAATATTTTCAAATGTAAAGCTCATTTTATTTTGACATTTACAATATTCTAATTTATTATTTTCTATTATCGTATAAGCGAATTTAACAAAACATTCCTGTTTTGTGTACCTTACATGAAAGTAAATCAGTAAAAAAGGAGAAACAAAGAAAATTTTTCAGAGAGAAAATCTTACTGTCCTTGACATTTCATTTTTTAATTATATTAAAATGTTTTTGTTTTAGAAATTCTAACAAAAATCATTCAGCGAGCATCTTTAATTTAAATAAAAGAAATGTATAACAATTTTTTTTTTTTGTAATGAAATTAAATTTATTATATTTGATTTACCTGTTCTGTGGGAAATTCATTTTCATTTTCGGATGATATGTCAACAATTTCGATTTCAATTATACCACTATCTAAAGATATTGTTTGTCTATATAATAAGTCTGTATTTGATCGATATTCGCCAATGAAACGCTTAGTTAAATATCGAACAGTTAGTGCTGAAAATTAAAAAGGAAAAAAAATTAATTATATTATTATAAATTATTAGTATTTTTTTTTATTATTAGTTGAAATACAAATAAAAGATTAATGCTTTTTAGCACTTTTCCAAAAAAATTTTGAAAAAAGTTCTTATCAGTTTCACGGGTCCGTGGACCCGTTTACAAAAATTTTGAAGATAGAGAGCTGAAATTTTATATGTACTTAGATCTTTACTAGAAACTTATTTCTATAGAAAAAACTTTTTACCTATCTCCTCCGCTCTAAAAATTATAGCTTCTCAAGGACTTGCAAATTCCATTTTTTGACTATATGTTTTAAAGAGATCACAAACATTTTCGAAGTTTTGTTAGCGCAGAAAAGTTGTATCGAGTTTTTTCTACCGCGGTACGGTATAATTAAATATCAAAAAAAGAAAAAAGGCTGCTAACATCAACCGTTATCTAAAACCCGTTTTTTCGAAATTTAATATGGTTTTTTTTTTCTAGACCATAAGTTGTAGGAGTCTGAAATTTTAGCGACTTTCACTAGTTTTTATAAAAGGAGGAAGATAACGGTAAATGTCATACCATCAAAAAATATGAGTATTTTTCTTGACTCATGCAATTAACCCTTAAATTCGAGTATTACGTTAACGACTCTTTCAATTTTATTTTAATCTAATCTAAAATGTATGCAATATTTTTGAAATTTTTCATGTATCGATGAAATTAACTTAAATAACGTAAAAGCTAGATTGTTTTTAACTAGATTTTTACTTGAACTTTTTTTTGTGAAGGGGAATAGTGGTAATTTAAAAATCTATGGTTTGATATATCTTTATTTAATTTTTATTTAAAAATTGTAGAGACTCATTATGTAAAACCCAATTTTCAAATTAATTCTGTGTTAAAATCAAAAATATTTAAACATTATGATAAGAAAATTCAATTTTTGCAAGCAATTTTGACATGCAAATGCTCTTTTTTGAACAGGAATTCATCAATAGAAAATTTAATCCAAAAATCAATATAGCACCTTATTCAACTTTTTTTTTGATTTGTTCTTCTTTTATTCTAATTTAATATAACCTTGGATGTATTCCATTCATATATGAAATAAAATTATTTTATCAAGCAAACTGGATAAATCGCGTTATTCTATATATAAATATGTTTAAAAGCTCGATGGATATTTTTTGGCCATTGCTCTTTTTGCTTAAAAAATTTGCAAACTTATAATTAATATTTTATATTTTATTAATATAATATTTGGTATTATTTGGAACAATATTTTATTTATTATAGCCGCTAAACAAATTATCAACAAAATATACTAAATTGATTTTTAAAAATTTATCGATGATCATACCTTATAACAATTTCGTATTTTTTGTTCTTATTATAAAGGTGCTATTTTTGATCTGAACAAAGTTCGTATAATATTTTCGTACTACATTTATCATATTTTTCAAAAAGGCAGCAAGCATCATAATTTACAATAATTTTTAAAATAAAGTACATTACAATATTTTTAAAATTTTTATATTTTGAAAGAAATGCCGCTATTTATTTTTAATTTCCTTATACGTAATTAAATTCATTATTTTTATTAATTTCATTTTACTTTAAAGAAATAAAAATCTTTTCAAGTTTTTTAATTCAACAATTTAAAAATGTCACATTATAATATCGTATTATATTTTGAATTACGTCAATATGTAGGTAAATATAAATTAATAATAATTACTAAACGATAAAGAAAATATTTCTCTCTCATTAATATTAACTATACACCAAAATAAATATGTATAAAATTATTAAACGTATGTACGCATTAAAGAATGTGTACATATATACATATTCTGCAAGGTAAATAATAAACACTCTCCTGTTCTTTGAAATTATAAAAGAGAACGATCAAATATATGACATGTACGATATACGAAATAAGATCAGTGGTGTTACTTCTCATGATTTTATATACGATCTTGAAAATTTTGGCAAATATTTAGAATATTTTATGGCATAAATGCGTTTATTAATTATTATATTCTATTTATATAACAAAAATTTATTATGTATGCATGTACATATTCTTCATACATTGTATGTGTGCTATTAAATTTTCTTTGGAAAATAAATAAATCTAGGGTAAACTAACATTATTTTACAAATTAAACAACAAAAAAAAAATTCCCTTTTTTTTCGGCATTACCGACAATTTATATTTTAATAGATAAAATCTTTCAATAAGAAATTTTAACATTGTAAAACCGCCTAATGTATTTGTGTGGAAAATTTAATTTATTAAAAATTTTAAATACATGTTTGTATAACCTACATATGATAAAATATTTTCGATATCAACGATAATACTTTGTTATTAAGCAAAAATTCACAGTACCTATACAAAACTAGTTGAATTATATTATTTTGCACACAATAAGTTCAATTCAATATGCTCATCTAGATTTTTAAGAAAAATTATAATGTGAATTTTAAAAATAGATCTGCATTTTCATTACATTTACGGAACTTTAAAATTCAGCATGAACTTACAGTTCAACAACAAAGATTAATTTCATTTTTTTAATTTTATTTGATTGAGGAATTTAAAGCCTTTTGAATATTCATATACTTGAAAACACAAATTAAGTCGGTTCAGCACATTTTAATAATTACTTTTTCAGTGACAAGTACAATAATTTTATTCAGTGACAAATATACAATTTTATATCTCATATGTGAATGTCATACGAAGTATTTTAATATCGGTGTGCATATTAGAGACATATTGCCAAACCTTTATTTAATTTGTTAATTAACTACTTCCAAAATTTGCAAGAAAAAGTAACGAAATGAATTTTCGATAATGAAATTCTAATTTGTGTGCTATTGTAATTGTGTGTGAACAAGATTTTATATCACCTTTATGCGAATCACCCTTCACAAAATTATTGCTATAATACTCCCAAAAGTATGCAAAAACACTATTTAATTTAAAACTTTGATTGAAAAATCAAACTTTATCTGAAATGCGTAAATATTATTGCAACCCTGTAATACGACACACTGATATAAATTTTAAAACATAATACATAACATAAAGCCAAAATGAAATATCTATTTCGAAATGATTTAAGATAAAAATTAAAAATAAAGAAAACAAAAATACAAATTCTTTCTATTCAAAAATTATATGACACCAAAGAAAAATTTTTAAGAAGACCAAAATAAATAAATAAAAAAATAAAGAAACTGGTCCAAAATAAATATACGCTTCCTTAATTATTATTATTTATTTATAAGTTTGAATAAGAAAAAAAGGACTTTTTAATTAATATGTAAATAATAAATATAAAATGCCCATTCTATAATGTTTACAATTCGAATATAGACTGCGTATACATTTTTACAGATAATCTTTTGTGTACACAAAAGAAAGAATGTATTTTGATCTCAAGAAAAGAAATAAATAAAAATGAGAAATAAACTTGACATTTTGCTAAAAAAAGACCTTGAACTTAAATTAATTTTCATTTTTTTTTTTTTCTTAAATTTTTGCAAAAATTTTCTTTACAATTTTCTTTTCTTTTACATTACAGATGATTATTAATTATTACAAATACCTACAATTCTACATAATAAGAATACTTATACCGTTGTATACACCATTTTGTTATTAATTTTCTTGTGATTTTACTTGTACAATATTTTCTTTTTAAACAAAAGGCATAAAAATTAATTATTTGTTTATTAGCATGAAAATGTACAATAATTATTTAAAATAAAAAAAAAATTTTTAAACTTTTTAACGCAATATGTGATCGAGTTATCCAGCAATTTGTCCATAAAAAATTCAACAAAAAAATAAAAAAAGTAAATTAAAATAAACAAAGGATGTGTAATGAATAGCAGCTACTTTGTAAATTTTAAAATTTTTGAATGAAATATTTGGTCATAATTTGTTTTTTTTTTAATAATTACAATTATTATTAATGAATGGCACAATATGAGTAATTCTTGAAAAATTCAATTCAATAATTATTTAAATTTAATAATTAATTAAATGAAAATATTTAAGAAATAAAAAAAATAAAAAAACAAATAACAAAACTTTGTTTTTTTCAGATCAACTTGTGTGAATCATAATTTTTTTAAAATTTGTCTATACAAGTACAGCCTATGTCACATTATTAAGTGACGTATGTGACATTTTTATTTAGCATATTTTTCCCGATTTCGTAGATGCGATTTCTCGGAATCAATTTTTTTAATTCCTTTCTAGTTTTGGAATTTTACATACTTAACAATGCGTTATTTTGTCTGACATCAGTAAAAATGTTCATTGGAAGAAGAAGAATGTGCGCCACAATTTTGTATGAGAAACGAGTTATTTTTAGCATGATTAAAAATTTTGTTTCAAAAACACGTGCCTGAACAGAATAAGGTTGCATTAGGCTAATAAAAACAGAAGTACAAAATTGCAGTTTCTCACTTCATCATTCCTATACATTAAGGTCTCCCTTATATTAAAGAGAATTCTTAAAAATTTAATTGCTGTTAATAAAAATGGTATGAATTGAAGAAACCGAACCGAGATTTTAAAATTAAAACTATTTAATATTGCAAGTAAAATAAACTTAAATAAAATTATTATCAAATTGATGTACATGAAAATGTTTTGGTTATCTGAAAGGTATTTAAAGTTTAAGCACATTTCCATTTAAGACTTTATATTATGCATCCATTTCTCAAATTTTCATAAAAGTCATTGAACTTAATAATAGTAGAATTATTTGTAGATAATTTTTTTGTTTAAATTGTTGCACTTCAATTCGCGACACGCAAATTTCAATTAAAAAGTTGCTTAAAATTTGTAATTATTTTTACTTAATAAATTTTTCACACCCAATAGAACTTATTCCAAGAGTTTTTACGAACATTAACTGATATTATTGCACATCATAATCATTCAATAATTAAGAAAATAAACAATTGATTAATAAAATTTAAATTATTTATACATAGAATACATATAGAAAAAGTTTTCCATTACGAATTTGAAAATATTTTCTATTTTAAATATTTTAAAGAAACAATTTTTCAAGCACAATAAAAAAAATAAAATACTTACCAGATTTTCCAACGCCCACATTTCCTAAAACAACAAGACGTACTAATGGTGCTGCATTTTTATCTCCTGCTTTCATTTTATCTAAAATAGAAAAAAAATATTTTTAGAAATCAATCAAAACTGAAAGCGCTCTAAACATAATGAAATTAGTATATAAAATAATAAAATGCAAGTGATGATCGCAAACAAATGTACAAAAGCGTAGGTATAATTAAAAGGATGAATCGAAAAATAAACAAAACAAAATTAATTTTAAAATGTCCACATTTTTTCTAAAATCTCTTCACTAATAATATTAATAATAATTATTCGAATTTATTATTAAATAAATTAAATTTAAAATAAAAATTTTGTGCAATTTCATACATTTTGTGCATTCTGTGATTCAGTCATAATTTTGTAATAATTTGTAGGGAATTTTTATACTATGGCGTTTTAAAAACAATTTTTGTTATTTTATATGGAAAAAAATAAAATAAAATTTTTATAAATTCATTTTATATTAAAAGATAATTTAAATTAAAATTATTTGGTATTTCCTGAAATATTTAAAACTATTGACGACAACAATTTATTTTTACTTTATACAAAAATTGGAGAAAATTAAATAAAGAAGACAAGGAATGCAAGGATAAAAATTATATTACTTTTAATTTGCTCTTTTGAATCTATTCAAAATTTATAATTTTCTTTGTTTACGAGATAATAATTAAACTTTTATAATTTTTATGACAAACTTTTGTAAATGCAATTAAATCAAATAAATATAAATTCAGAAAAACTATTAAATTGTCGCAATTGTAAGACTAAAACGCAACAAGAAAGGCAGCGAGACAGAAAAATGAAAGTTGTAAAAGTTTTATGAAAACTAAAAATGAGTTTAAGATACAAAATAAAATCTTAAATATTATCAATTCAGTACTTATATCAACTAATTCATTTCTATGCCCTTCGTAGACGTATTTTTGCTTCCCTCAATCGTGGGAGCCAAAATTTTTTTGAATATCAATTTTAACATCAATGTAATGAACAAACCCATAATTTTGCGGGCTGCCTTCTTTTATGATGGGCAGCCTGTTTGTTTGGGGGCGAACATACGAAGATGTTTTTTCTTGGAATTGTGGGGGATGGGCAGAAACCGGGTTCGTGCTACTGCGACTTTCTTTACTGGACATTTCCCAGTAAGGTATCATCGGGTTTCATTAACAAATTAACACGTTTCTCATATAAAATTGCGACGCATATATTTTTTCTTCCAATGAACATTTTTACTGATGTCAGACAAAATATCGTATTTTTTTTCCTTGCTGAACTTTGAGCTATAAGAAATTAAATATTTCAATCGGTATTCAAGTATACAAATAAAAACTTTTAATTCAAAATAAACTAAAATTAAATCAACAAATGAAAGAGAGAGCTAGAGATTTTCGACATAAAAAATATTTATATTTTTCTAATAATTTTTTATATTTTATTATATTTATTTATTTAAATATCTATTTTAAGTAAGTAAACGTATTCAAAACTGATAATTAGAATAATCAGAACAAAGAATTTTCAACTTCTCTCAACAAATTTGATACCAATTACCAAAACTCTAGAACTCTAGAACATAACCATATAACAATTTGTATAATATTAAGAAAATTTTTATAATTTATCTTATAGACTAACAGAACGTTACGTTTTCAACATCTTATCCTTATTATAAAGTCAAAAGCTAATGATGCATATTATAAAAAAGAACAATATAGTATTCAAAATTATTCAAATCTTTAAAACATAAAATACTACGAAATATAGAGGGAATTAAAAACGCATTTTCACAAATTGAATTAAAAAAGTCAAAAAGTCAAAAATATCATTATAAAATATACACAGATACTAATATGCATATTCATATATTATTATAAAAAATTGAACTTTCACCCATTTCATATAATAAAACATCGATTTTAATAAATTTAAAAATAAAATATTTAAATATTTTGAACTGTAAGCTTATCATAAATTTTCCATTCAAAATTAGTAAAACCAAGAAAAAAAAACAACAAAAACTATAAAGAGTATGGGAAAAATGTTAAAGAGAGAAATTATAATTAAAAGAATTTTTATTAACATTTTCTATATGATAAAAATGTATTAATGGTGATGAAAGATACGCTAGATTGGCGCCATTTAAATATGTAGAAGATGAGTAAAAATTATTTTTCATTTTTAATATTAAATATATGAAGAAAATCTTATATTTTGTTCTTTATTTTGAGTGTGAGTCTAAATTCGATATTAGTTTGTAATATTTTAGTAAATAATTTAGTAATTTAAAAATTATAAATTTTACTTTAAATTTAATTTTGATTCTACACGATTTTTTAACTTAGAATTTAACATAGAATCAGTGCATGCCAATCTTAAGTGCGTACAATCACTTAAGTATAACAAAATAACAATCGAAATATGCAATAATTCTCATCTCATACGTTGTCCTTTTTTTACTTCTACCCATTTAAAAATAAAATATTAATTAAATAAGTAAAATATAAATGTTTTCGTATTCCAATAATTATAAAAATCGATTAATGATTTCAAATTTGAACTGATTACAAATACACTTCACATATACACAAAAATAATGTGCTGTTCAGCACAACGTGGACATTAAAAAAAACTCGCATTAAATGCCAATTACATTCATTTCCAAGTGAAATTTAAAATTTATTGAATTTTTATATAAATATTATAAGAATTCGTAGTTCAATATTATTTTTAATAGCAAAATTAATATTCAAGACTTACGAGTATTAACCAAAATCCAGTAATCATAATAACAATATTGGTAGCCCTATTGCTTACCATACAACTTATTCGCCGTATGTATAACGAATTGATTAAATATTATTTTTATTATCACTCTACTATCAGGTTGACTGCCATTTTAATAAAGCAGATATAGGGGCGCAAATTTCTCAAATATCAGGGTTCCAATACTATTATTATAGAAATCAATAATAATGAAATCACTTTTCCGATAAATTTTATAAATCTGTTTATAAATTAGAACATGACATGCTAAAATGCAATATTTTTTATATTGACACGTGATAAAACGTGAATGCAATGCCACTAGTTCAAAAACATCATACTTTATATATACGAGTATTATATTTTTTTCTAATAATACCGCATATGAATGAATATTTAATTTGGCTATATAGATAAAATTCTTTGTTAATCAGAATTAAAATAACGACACAACACTATACAATGAGAAAATCTCATAAAAATAAAAAACACAACAAAAATATAAAATAGCAAACAGAAGAAAAATCTTGATGTAAAATTACATTAAAAAATTTCGTTTTGGGATTTCATTTTAAGATTTTTGAATTTTCATATTATCCCAATGTGTTTGTGTTTGTGCCATAGTAAACCGTGTATACGTATAGCAAACTTGTGTATACAATTATTATTGGTTTTGGCGAAAATCATTTTTATTACATTTTCTCAGTATTTTGTTGCTCTTTATAAATATTTTGTGTTTCAATTTATTTCGTATTTCTATTTTACTTTTTATTTCTGCTTGTTTTTTGGCAGACGAATGGTGATTGACCCACATACTTTTAAATCTATTATATACAAATTAAAATAATGTTTTTTATACTATTTATTAAATCTTCTTATAATTTTATGTGCATTATATTTGTATATATTCGTTTTATATAAATAATATGTGGTTTTTTTGAATGATATTTTACATATTTACATACTCCCAAACACACAAGCTATAATATTATAATATTTTATTACATTTTAAATTTTAAAATTAATTTTTACAACAAAAAATATGTATATGAAAAGAATTTAAATTGTCTTCTAAATTTTAATTGTATACGCATATTTTTACAATTTTATTTTAAATATTTCTTTTAAAATTCCATCATTATTTCTCATTTATAATAAACACTTTCTTATTACAATCTTATAAATTTGAGCTATTATATAGAATGGAATTTCATGGTAAAATTCTAGAAAAAAAATATATATAAAATATTTTTTTTTTCTCTTTTGTAAAAATGTGAAAAAAAAACAAACCTCAAACCAATTCAATTTTAGATCACCTTGTAATAATGATTTACAAATGAATTAATATATAGAAGAGGAAAATATGTATTTGTAATGAAAAACAAAAAAATTAATATGAAATATTGTATTATTAAAATTCCATATTGAAAATTTTAAAGGGCATATTTCAAAAAAATAGAAAAGGTTAAATTTTGTACCGCCATTATTGAAAATAAACATATGAGTTTTAAACATGGGGTATGTATAAACAGCTTTTCAAAAGCACATAAATCAAAATATTCTCTAATTATTATTTATATAATAACAATTAAGTAAATTGAATGGAAAATTTACTCAATAATTTGAAAATAAGTAATTCGCTTTGGTTAATATTGAAAACAATGAAATGGAAATACGAATATTCTCGGCGAAAAATTAAAAAAAAACCAAGGCTAAAAAAAATTTTAATTTTATAATCGCACGTTTTATTTAAATTAGAACTTTATTTAGAAGAATATTTATGTAAATAGGCCTATTTCATATTTTATACTTTAATCTTATCAGTTATAATTATTTTTCATTGCTTAACAAAATTATCTTATCGCATATTTTAATTATAATTCGTAAAAATTTTACTTTATTTAAATTCTTTACTATAAACGCAATTTGTATTTCAAAGAATTTAAAACAACAAAATTTTTATATTCTTAATAATTTTTTTTTACCTTATATTTTTATTATCTTATGTTATTTTTTAAATACCTTATGTAGACATGCACCAAAATTGATCAAGAATAAAACACAACTAGCAAATGAGCAAAAAAATCTGCTACTTATTTTTGCAGATTCATATTTAAAAATTTTAATAAGATTTTTACATTTGATTTTTACATTTTTCGGGCCCGCCACCAATTAAAATACTAAGTTAAAAAGGTAATTCACTTAATTGTAACAAAATTATTTATAACAAAAAAAACCACAATTCTATCACAGAATTATTTAAGCAAATGTAGGAAATA